ACAGACTTTTAGGGCGAGATCTGAATGCAGTGGATGATTGTTGTCTAGTGTCATACAACCTCGACAACCTACTAGTGAAAAACATCAATTCGGCAGAAGGCAAGGACAGGCCTCAGGTGGAAATAGACAACTCATAGATGATGAACTTATCTAACCATGAACATGAAGTATCAGTCATTAACAACGGAAGAAATCTGAAGGAAGTTAGCTCTTTCACCTACCTAGGCAGCATCATTTCAACTACAATTAGCACTGATGATGACCTCATAGCAATGTATTCTTGGGAAAGATGAAACCGAAATTCATTATTCTGAAAAAAGTATGGATGCCAGCTGCAGTCATCATAAGGAATAAAATTCAATCTTTTAGCTTTAATGTCAGGTCAGGTCTTCTACATGGTTCAAAAATTCGGTGTGTTATGAAAAGCATTTCAAGCAAATTGCAGGCTTTCATTATCAGCTGCCTTATCTGGATAATAAAGGTCAGATATCTAGTCAGAAAGGATAAGCAACTATGGACTCTAGAGAAGAGAAATTTCAAAAGCACGCTTGCCAATAAGCATTCAGAGGAAAATAGAAATGGATCGGGTACACGCTGGGGGACCGCCGAGTTACAGGCCCTTGAGTGGAACCAGGACGGGCAGCAACGACTTGAGCGTAGATCCTAGGGAAATTTGGAGGAGATCGTTTAGGGAGAAGATGAGAACTTATGGGAAATTATGGAGCCAGCTAATATTGACTGAAGACAACGATGTGAAATGCAAATGTCCTGCTGAAGTCCTATGTTCCACTTGGAGCTCAAAGAGAGATTAGTTATTATTAATAACTTTAAAAGGATACTCTGGGAATTGATTTGTCTTTTATGCCCAGTAAAACAATAACAATTCATAAGTGATGTTTGTTTTTGTCACCGAATAAAAGACAATCAGTTAATTCTTTATGGTAACTCATGGCTTAAGTATTATTTCATCACTGGGTGTTTTGCTCTTAAATTATTCTCACCATCTTTTTGAAGAAAGTATCAATACCAGCTAATGATTATAAATCTGTTGACCAATCATAACGAAGCAGATGACTTCAGACAGGTGGGTTTTCCAAGTTTAGTGTTTACTAATGATATTTTGCATTAATTATCTATTGGGTGGGCTGAAGATACACTTGGGATTATAAATGACTGTGTAAGCAGCTTTTTAAACGTCATCTAAACAATGCAGTAGTTCCTCTATCTATGATGAAGTACAACTGGTCAAACAAAAAATTATCTTAGGAAAAGAGAAAATGCACAGTAAAGCAGAATAAAAGTGATTAATTTCATTTCATTGACTTCTGTTACCTGAGTACAACCCCCTACAATTAATTCAAGGGGTTTTATTATAATTTTGAGATACTTCAGTTCATGAAATGTAATCAGATATCCAGTAATCAGTTGTATAACAACATTACAGTGAACTGGGACATATACTGTTGATAGCAGAGACATGAAAAGCTTAAGATATTACTTAAGCAGTTACACAAGTTTAATTGGTGGATGGTGACTAGCAGTGGAATCCAGGATGTGCATTTCGTCCCATTTGGGACTCGTCACTGGATGTACCTGCATTCCAGGGTGAGTGATGATGTTCCCACCGAGGCTCGAAACCAGTGACCATAGTTTCAAACGCCAAAGCTTTATCCACTAGACCATTTGGGACACGAAAGCCACCTCTTGTGCAACGGGTCGTATTAATTATTTAATTGAATTTCAGATTTTCCGTCGATTGACTAGATCGAAGTGCTCGGTTTCAGATTGACATGTCGGCTTCTTGTGTAGATGCTTCGACGATGTTTGGGCATGTAATTAAATTCTATTCAGCTAAATAGTTACATAAGTTGGTTACAATTCCATGACAAGATATAATAATAAAATACAGTGAGTAGAATTCAGATTGGAATAACCGAAACCTTATGTGAGAAACTTGATGAAGAGATGCCAGCGTACATCGTAATGAAACTCAGTGAGTAAATCTGAGCCGATCAAACATTGATATCTCATGTGAAAGTAAGTTGACCAAGTGAAAAAAATTGATGCAGTCGAATAAGTCGACAGTTATAAAAGAGAGGAACCAGGATAACCAGTACGTCTGTAATTCACCGGAATAATACTTGCAAACTATGGACGTATTTCGGAGTTAGATCCACAATCGGTGCAGTCCTAAGCCTCTCTCAGTCGATAGTAATCTCAGCGAACAGGAAGAGTTGGGCGTGTGGCTAGTAATTCCTATCCTTGAACAATACCACTGCAACTGAAACTCTGGAGCTCAAACTTGAAGCCCTATGTTCCACTCGAAATGCAACAGGGTGACCGAAGTCAAACGACTGGTTTATATCGAACACACAAACCAAATTACAGATGTTTTATCTCGATAGCCTCAACAAACACATAATTATCTGTCCTCTCTTAATCGACAACTGTTCTAAATGTCCCCAAAACTTCTACTCATTGTCTTGTATGTACCGAGGTTAATAAACCGCCTTTGTCAGAATTCTTTTACTTCTCATTAAAAGCATTAGTTTCTATACAGTGATGGCCCAATAGAGAATATGTAAAATCCGAACTACAGAATAACGTGTTTATTCTCCTCTCCTCCCTAATATACATGATTTTCATTTTTATGAGTAAGCAAAATATTTGAAAGTTATAGGTTCATCAAGATATAAGTTGAAAAAACCTATGCGATGCCTTATTATCAACCCACAGAGTATAACTGGTCCTCATTGTAATGGAGGAGTCAATGTAAAAATCCTAGTAAGTCAACGTAAAGACAGAGTCAGTCCTAAAGGAAGCAAATTTTATACATTTCTGGATACACCACTTCTAAACAGCAGTTCTGAAAACAATTAAAACTGAATATCATTTAAGTCATCAGTTACTGATTTCTTTATTACTGAACTTGATATATAATATTCTCTGAAGTTTTATTACAAACTTAGATCATGCATACTATTCCTTCTCTCTTCGATAATTAAATAATTTCACAGTGTATCTTGGTTAGTATTTCTGCAGTTCCATAATACCTGTATTGAATAAAGCATACATTACTCACTCAGGATAGATTAATGACTAACTCAAAATGATGCTCAAGTGTTGGTTTGTAGGGATTTGATTGGTTACAGGGTTTCATCATGAGGTGATATTAGTTAGAGAACCATTGGAAAACCTGGGAGTACTGGATAGCTGTTTCCTCCTGGTTTGGGATTCTTCAGCAGTACGCGCCCACCGGGGTTCAAACCCAGGACATTCTGGTTACAAGGCTAGCGAGCTCGTAGACCTCTAAGCCACTGGGACCCGGTCCAATGGCCTATGAATTCTAACTTCTACCAATTCACGACATAGCGTGACCCCTAGCCAATGTCTCCGCCGAGTATTTCTCCTCACAACCGACCTGCTGAACCCTACTGGTCACGACTTCTCACTAGAACCCCAGGTAACTACCTACCTGAATAGGGCAAGTCGCTAGTGAGCATCTCATTGATATTCAAGTGTTGGTTTGTAGAGATTTGATTGGTTACAGGATTTCATCATTAAAATGATGCAACTAGAAGTCGAAGATTCCCATCACAAAACTCCAATTGCGTGGAGGCAGTAACAAAAAAGCATTACTTAAAACATTTTGTTAACACAAACGATTATCTGACTGTGTACACTGAAACACAAAAATACGGTGTACTCCAATTTCCCATGCATTTTGTTTAGAAGGGAGGACGATAACGTTTTTTTATAAGAAATGCATCGTTCACAATAATAATAATAATAATGATATCTTTATTCTGGACAGTATTTATAAAATGTACACAATTTCGGAGGAGTTTATTGCACGATATTTTCCCTTCGTACAATATCTTCAAGTAAAACTGTAACTGACAGTATATCCCGTGACACAGTGGTCTCTGAGCTGAATCATAAACCATTCCATTATGATATGTATCTGCTTTGTCTCCTTCGAGAAATCCATGACATCTGGTTGAAAGCCAATTGTAAGATGTTCGGACATAACTGAGGAACAGTTATCTCATTTACTGGAACACGTTGCCACCCACAATCAGACCATTCCTCAAGTTTAGTGGGAACTTGTAAATCAGAAGCTTGTAAACATTTTTAATACACACGAGAGTGGATAATACCATTAGAGATCATATCTTAATCTATTAAAACCAACCAAAGGAGAGAAAATATATGCAACAGAGAGATGGAAAGTTTTTTGGCAGCCCAAGTTTTAAACAGGCCGCCGGTGAATATTATAGGATAGATAAATAGTATATGGAGGAAGAAAGCAGTCGGTGGGTGATTTTAACTAGGCAGCGGTTTAGAAAACACTGTAGGCATTATTACCCAATATTGAAGAAAGTCTAGAAATGTATAAAAATGTCTCAAACTCCAATCATAGAAATAAACGAGCTGCTGTCATGCATATATATAAATTTTAAGCTTCAAGTTTCCATAAGTTCATAATAATTTATGACTTCATTTCAGAGACGATAAAATGTTGATGCTCTCTGTTATATCAGTGTATGCCTATTTAGTATACATATAGAAATTTAGATATGTTCAATGATTCAACGTTTGTGTCATTTGATGACATTGAAAAGAAAAAAATAAACAGATGACTTGAAGTTTACCAGATTAAAAAAGAAGGAAAAAGCGATCGTCTGACAAACATAAGACCACATACACACATACATACACAAACATTCAACCTGTATTTATATATCTGCATGACAAAATTGTCTTCCATAACAATTGTAGAGAATTAGTGTTGTAACTATTCTCAGTAGTACTCAGAGATATATAAATAAATACATACATACATTCATACATTGACAATCGCACTATGATCTTTGTAGTTGTGTAAGGAGTATGGATAAACTTTATGGGAATGGATAGTATTATGCTAATTTGTGATTGGCCAGTAGGGGAGTATTCAGTTTGAACAAGTCTATATAATTACCTTACTTATTTGATTACTGAAGAGAGAAACGAAAATAATGAAAATAAACAATTATTGTCACTATTTTACTTTTCTTATGAAGCAATAAAACTCTTAAAAAGGAAACTCATATTAATAAACTAGAGCAATAAGGAAAAGTGAAGGTACTCGAACAATGCCTATGCGTATACCACAACCAATACAGATTTGGTTCAATTCATTGCATCATCGTAGAAGGTTAAAAACTCAAGATGCATTCATCAGTTTAACAGATATATGCGATGAAAAAATGATTGACAATAATCCTTTACTAATTGGTGGATTAGAAAATCTACTCCTTGAAATGATACCAAACAGCTGGAAACAACCAATGGTTAAAGATGGTGCAAAACAAGTTGCTCAATGGATATTTGAAAATTTAATTATGTTATATGATGATAATAATGATTACTGTGATGTAACTGAACGGCCGCATGATCATAGAAATGTATTGGATGATGCGAAATTGGTGACAATCGAGTTATTACCTACAATTATTTATGTATACTTCTGTTTATTAAGTGAGTAAGAGTTGCCTTTTAAAAATGTTTGTAGGACATGGTTTTGCTCTTTCACTAATGACTAATTTTATGAATTAAAAGTCAATCTGAACGAAGAATATTCTTTTCAATAATTTCTCTTCAGGTTCTTACAATTATAAAATATAATATTTGTTGTCGTTACAATAATGAGCCAGTTATGCGGCGGATACATTTTTAACGTGGAATAACAGATTAGTTATGGGGTGTCAAAATAAATAGTCGTATTTGTGTGACAAACGTGCTAGGCTGAATTCGATTACAAAATATTGTAAAACGGGAGACAGTGGTGATTAATCATAATAGATTTGTAGAGTGTGGGGTAGGAAAATTGACAAGTCAGTTCAAGGTTATAAAAGGTGTCAGGTGAGTGGCTAGTACAAAGTGGTCTGTGTTAAACAGGAGATAGTAAGACTGCAATGAGAGGTTCATAATGAAATAACGAATATGTGAAATGAAACAGGTAGAGGCATATATTGAGAAAAGAGATAATATCACTAATAATAATTCCGGATAGTATAAATGAAAAATTCGATAGTATTGAGAGAATGTTTGCATGAAGGGCATAAATTATGACGAATAATAATAATATTAATAATAATCGTAATAATAATATTTGTAATAATAAGCAAAGGAAAAGAAAGCCAAGAGGGTTAAGGGGAAGGAACACTCTTGGTGAGAAGAAGAATCATCAATCCAAGTTTGGCCACGGTAGAAACAGCGTCTGGACGTGTTCTTTTTGGATACAAAGTTCCGGTTTAGTCGATCTTATCGCAACAGCTTCAGCTATGTATAGGAGACGTAAGCGAACTGTACGTGATAACGACTTCCGAATTCGGTTTATAACCCTGGAAGCTGTGTTGGCATCGACGCAATGTCCAGTATCAACCAAGTGTGACAGGATCGAGCTTTTTATGCACTTAATTTCCCCCTTGCTGAACCAAGCTGGTAAATGTTCTCGAACCCGTAGACGAACCTGCCTAATCGTGCGCCTTATATAACTTGAGCCACAGGAACAGTTGAAATGGTATATGCATGAAGAAGAGCTAACTTTAGGTAAGACATCTCTGAGTTGCTGGGTGAACACTGGACGGCTACTGAAGGATAGAGACAGACGTGCAGAGTAGAAAGTTTTCTTGATCGCCCTGGTTAAACGTTGTGATAGAATCTCCACAGGAGTATCTCCCTTGAATTGTAGACGTAAAAACAGAGGCTTTTTCTCCAAAGTTACCAGTTCATGTTTCCGACTATTGTAACCTATGTTGGCTTTAATGAACTTCTCTGGATATCCGTTCTCGCTTAGAATGTCTCGGATGACCTGGAGTTCTTTCTCTACGCAGTCTTTGGAACAAATAGACCTCGCTCTAAATGCTTAGCATCTGATCAGATTACGTTTGTATTTCATCGGTACAAAGCTAAGGAAGTGTGTACAGTGAGCTTTGGTCTCTAGCCTTTTAAATATGGTTCTTTTGACGACAAATATTATATTTTATAATTGTAAGAACCTGAGGAGAAATTATTGAAAAGAATATTCTTCGTTCAGATTGACTTTTAATTCATAATATGGGAATTTTCCACATTATCAGATAAATTTTATGAAAATGAGGCGTCAGTTTGCCTTGGGAAATAAGCAGAAAACATTAAAAATTATTTGAACTAAATATGGAGTGTCTACCAGTGAATTTCCAGCTCCCAGGGTGACAGTCTATCAGGCTGAATATTCGCCAATAGTTTAATCTTTCATATCATCTGAAATCGTCTCCTGTACAAAAAGATTATTATTTTGGCAGCCATTTTGTAATTCGATTATTTCAATATAACTGATTAAAAATGCCCATTAAAATTTTCAAAAGAATGGACACGGAACAAAGAGTACTCTTTTCGATAAATTCATCATCAGGCTCTACAATTATATATACACTATAATGAATGAATGAATTAGTCTTATGAACATCGAATCAATAATATTGATAGATTACAGCTGAACAGCATCAACATAAAATAAGCTGAATGTCAGAAGAATTATGAAAGATAATAGTACAAATTCATGAGTTTATAGTTTCTACTGAGGGTCAGGGCAGTAGTAGGGGCTGGACTTGTTTCTTTTGAACACAGAGCACTGGTTGTTTGAGGCGAATCGCAATAGCCTTTGCTGTTTGGAGCATGCGGTGCTTCGACGATTTTGGTAATTTGTTAGGCACCCGGTATATTATAGAGAAGGATTCTTCTACGCTGGCTTTGTGACCGGTTCGCACCAGATGGTCTAATATCGAGCTGTTAATACTTTTAACTACACCTTTACTTAGCCATAGTATGATATGCTCTTGAGCACGAAAAATCAAGTTCCTAGAGCAATGGCCAATATAACTCGCTCCACAAGCGCAGTTGAATTGATAGATACAATTTGAAGTGGCTAGTCTAGGTACTTCATATTTGAAACAAGTGGCGATATGTTTGTTAATAATAATTAAACAGTGTCAAAATATCAATGGGTTGATAATTAACGAAGAAAATCAATGCACATTTAAAAGGTAGAAATGGTTAGAATAAATTAATTTTACAAGGATAACACATAATTAAAGATGAAGTGGTCAAAATAAATAAAAATAAAATGAAATAATTTGGACAACCATAATTTTTATAGTTTTTAAAGGTTTAGGGGGAGGGGGCGACGTAGTCCTGTTTATGCATTCTTGTAACGATGGCCACGGTAAGGAAAGTGGCTGTACAAATTTTTTCTGAACACATAGGCTTGGCTTCTTCAGGTGGATTCCGATTGCTTCAGCTGTCTGTAGAAGACGAACTCGTAGAGCAAAATTAAGATTAGTCGGAATGCGATAAATAATTTTAAATGTAGTATTAACATCAACCTTATGCTCAGTATCAACAATATGTGCTAAAATAGAACTACGAATAGATCTTGTTTGTCCCTTGCTTAACCATGTTGGATGATGTTCGGAAATACGACATATCGCCACTTGTTTGGTAAACTGTTGTGTATTGTAATAAAAATGCTATATATATTAGAGTAGAGCCAGAGATGAGGATCTAATTGAAAAGTAAATATTTCTTCGCTCAATCTTTCTGTATTTAATTATTTATTGATACTAGAGTCATAAAGCATGCGTTTAGCAATAACTTGCTTCAAAGCAAACGAAAAAAGACTTTACTCCTTCTCAATAATATATGGAAATTAGCTAGTGGTCCTAGTTTGAACATAAATAATTTTTAAATATCACAAGTAGGCAATTTTCTTGACTCGTGATTATATTTTTGTCACGAATGACAGATTGCTTTGAGAAACTAACAAATTTGATTTATATATGTATATATATGAATAGGATTTAATTAGTTTCTAAGTCGAGTGGTTAGGACTCTCGCCGACCATGCACATGGTCCGGGGTTCGATCCCTGCCGGCGCACACCCGATATCTATGGTCGCCTGAATTGGTACCGATATCCATGCTGAAAATTCCATACTTGTACTGAAAATACGGTGTGGAATCAAGCTGTAAATCAAAATAAAAAAATAAATAAAAAGTACCTCAAACCTGTTAAAGGAATGAAAAGTCAGCAGGCGGTGAAAGTAGGTGTGTCTTCATAATACACCTATCTGGATTCTATTATGCTTGAGGTTTTTAGACTGCTAGTCCTTTTAAGTATCTTATTGGCGTGTAGTTATCATAGACTTTTCAAAGTAAACAAGATTGTTGGGCTATCAAGCTTATGACTAATTTTATTACAGCTACCATCTTTAATTGAAAAATAGAACAATTTTATCTTGCAGGTGTTGGCTTGAAGGGATTTGATTGGCTAGAGGTTTCATCACGAGCTGATATCAGTTGAAGAACTATTAGAAAACCAGGCAGTTTTGCATACTTGGGGTTGTTCAGAAGTACTCGCATCCTTGGGTTCGAACTCCAGTAGGTGAAGAAGTGTTTCAAACGAGGATTAAACACCTTTCTAGTACTCTCTAGCTTCCCAATGATTGTCTAATCAATTTTAACTTGATTTTGGAGTGATGAAAGCATTTGTTGCTCACAAGGATCCTGAAATATTCCCAGTGATCAACATTTCTGTAAAGTAGAAATAATTATGATCTAAGCAAACGTCTTCACAGAGATTACAGAATAGTAAGTAAAAGAAAAAAACAGTTCCATAGGTTTCTATGTTCACCTTGCAGTGAGGGGCTCTGATTAGTGGTCCAGAATGATTCCATAAGCATCATATCCCATTTCAACGAAATAAATGTTAATATAGCAAAAATATTCATTCAGACATCAATAAAAAACAAAATAATTGAGCAACGAATATCCTTTTCGATAAATTCCTCTTCTGGCTCTACAATTATATATATGTTTATATACATAGAATATTCTAAATTAGTAGTCAATAACAATATTAGTGTTTTCTACCGCATACCAACAATTCTCAGTTTTACCTTAAGAGTTCGACTACTAAATATTGCTGAGGCTGTTGGGACCCATATTAACAAGCCTAATTTGTGCATCCAAAAGAAGTTAGTCCAGACATTATCCTTACCTTGGCTATCTAGGTTTGAATGATCCTGAATTTTGTGAAATTTTCCTAATTTTAGTTGATATTCTATTTGCTACTATATCTTTATTATTATCACTATAATTTTATCATCTTTAATGAACTATAACTGCATTGATCTTACTTTGCAAATCGATATTATTTAAAAAACACTAATATTGTTAATGATGATTATTCTAGAATATTCTATGTATATAAACATATATAAAATTGTAGAGCCAGAAGAGGAATTTATCGAAAAGAATATTCTTTGCTCAGTTATTTTGTGTTTTACAAACAAATGTTATCAATTAAATTAAAAACATGACCGCTTGGTTATTAAGATTATCTACTGAAAGACTACAGGAAACTCAGGTTCTGTGAACCTTAAGAAAGACTACGTCAGCTTAGGGATTACTGTCACCATTCTTTCAAATCAGAAGCAG